GAGTATTGACTTCACACTGTCCAAAGCCTTTCCCTTCAAGGCTCTCTGCAGACGGGTCATGTTCTCCTGGTTGGAGAAACCACACTCTGCAGTGGAGGCCGTGAACATCCGGTTGACCATCGGCCATGTTGTCGGATCACCGTTGAAGGCCGGCAGGTCTTTTGTGGCTGATTGTCTAGCCATCATTCTCCGCAGGTCCTTGTCCGAGGTGTTCTGGTGGGCTGGAGTGGTCGCCCTTGGTGGTGTCAACTCATCCAACAATACCTTGGCCAGCTGTGACACTGCTGATGCAACAGCTGTCTGTATGCTGTCACCTGATGTGGCCTGCGTCCGCAGGCTAGCAGGACCATCAGTACTTGCTGGTCGTTTCGGTGTCCATCGTCACGGCACTCTGCTCCCGCGCTCTTGGACGAAGGTAGATCGCATGTGGGGGTGTCAGCACCGGCCGCACCATGTGGCTCACTTTGCGCTTTGGTCTGCAGCTCGCGCCTTTCCCGGTTGGAAGGTGCCATGTCCACCTGCATGACTGCTAGTTGAGCTCAGGTCTCCTCCAGCTCGTACTCTAGATTCTGTACTTGGTCCTCCAGGTCGCATGACGTGCTGGTGAGCTGGCTGATGCGATGGTCTCTAGCTACCAAGTCACTTTGGAGACGGTCGTTGTTTGCTTCGGCCTTGGCAAGATTTCCCTCCAGGGACTTGATCACCTGCACCTGGTCAGCATGCCTTGCGTCTTCCTGGAAGATCCGCTGCTTCAGGGTTGCAATCGTCTGTTGCTGTAGCTGGAGTTCGTCTTTCAGTCGTCTTTTTTCTTCAAGCTCCACAGTGAGCTTGTCGTTATAGGCTCGCTCAGTGGAGCCAGTGTTCTGTCGGCATAGCTTCAGCTGCCCCTCCAACTCCTGGATCCTTATCTCCGCAGCACACAGAGGCTGCACAAGGCTGGTGGCTGGAATTACTGCCGGAGTAGCCGCGTCATGTGGGTCACTGTCCGTGTACCCCTGGGCTGGCATGACACGTTGAGTCACTTCGACCTCCTCGTGCTGTGGGTGCTGTTCTGCGTCTTGAGCAGATACTGGTTCTTCACCGTTCCTCACGAAGTAGTGTGACTCCTGCATGTCCATTGCCCTATCGCTGTGGCCGTAGTCGAGCACGGGTGCTGCTGTGCCTCCGTTGGCGACCTCCTCGTCGGCCTGAATCGCCGCCAGGTCCGCGGCGAGCTGGAGATTGGAGAGTCTCTTCTCGCTTTCCAGCCTATGGCTTCTCGCCTCCTCCTCAATTGCAGCCACACGCTGCGCTGCCACCAGCTCCGCTTTCCGCTTCCTGGCTTCAGCAGCACTGCTCGAAGAGCGTCGAGAAACACTCGAGAATCGGCTCAGTGTCGAGGAGGAGATACTTTCGGTTTCCTCCGCGACGCTGCCTGTGACAACGTTACTGATATTGTCGCTCCTGCTGCAACAAGTCGGCTTCACTTTCCGGCCTTTGGTCTCACGTTGAGATCGCCTGACCTGTTCACTGTGCCGCTTGTCGACGTCCATTATCTTTCCGTCTGGCTGGTTCGAATCCGGCTCTCGAAGGACCAATGTTTTTACCACTCGTCTTGATTCACCATTCCACAAACGTCACGTCGTTACTGTATTATTAGAAGATTGTATTATTAAAACAATCGACGAGGAGACAATAGTCGTAAAATGGCAATGAATAAGATAAATTGTGCACTCATAACAACAGCAAAAATGAAGAAAGTCAAGTTCCATAACGTTTTCTTGTGACTGTCATCAGTGGAACGCCGTCACATAAAAATGTAATAACTAAAACACACACTTATATACATGTGGCTAATATGGTTTCAGGTAGAAATACAGCAGCTAACAAGTACAAAAAGCGAAGTTTGCACCTTTGCAATGTGTGAATATAGTGTATGTGAGAAAGGTAGTGGCAGATGAATGTGATACTGTGTGAATGAATGTAATGGTGCGTGTGTATTACTTGAAGAGTGTGAGTGATACAACGTTTTCTTGTATCACTCACAATCGTCGTTTTACTAAACTACACTGAAACAAAATTGAACTCTTATAGGAAATCTAAGTTAGAGAAATAACACTAAAAAAAGCAGTGAAATTTACAAGTGTGAAAGCGAAAAAAAGCGAGAGCAATAACGAATGCGTGTGCTAACAATAAATTTGCAAATGAAAAATGAACAAACGAGAGAAAGAAAGAAGGAAGGACAAAGTTCAACTCGGATGGTGAGCCAATAGAAGAAGGACACAGTGATAACACATAACAGCAGTACATTTCACCTAGAACATTAACGGCCAAGCTTGGCCGCACCAAACACGACACGTTACTTGAACAATTTCAACCCAATTATACTGTCTTTCTGTACACACAAATTAGGCTTGTACAAACGCTGATAAATGGCTTCAGGGATGAATTTACTGTCATGTTTTTGCATGGCAGTTTTTGCTATGCAAAATCTCATTTGTGGCATAAGCTACTTGAAAAGCATGGATAGCCTGTACATGTATGTATGGCAGTTTTCTGCATGTCACTGTGATTTTTGTGAGGGTTTACCGGGTGTTAGCGGCCGTCGTGAGTTCCCTTCAGGAACGGACACGACAATTTACTTACTTACTGTGATTTTTGAGTAGCAGTAGATCGATTTTGCGTAGCAAACTGCAATGCGATACCGGATAAATTCATCTCTGGGCTTCCAAAACTTTGAACTGTAGTCCATAACCATGACGACCACAGCACAATACAGTGAAAGAAGAGTCGGAATACGAATTGCAACAATCAGGACTACCTAGCAGATGATTGTACACTGAAGACTTGCTACCATGAAACCTACGCACACCACTAACACTCTGACCGGCACTCTCACGATCACTCCCGTCATCGTTCTCCGACTCACTGCTTCCTTCGCCGTCCGTTCCATCCTCTTATTGTCTCCTCGCCGTTTGTTTAGAATAAACAAGAATAATAACTGAAGAACACACTGCACGCTACAGCACAGCCGGAAGACATGTCAAATTTCACATGGATATTTTGAATTTTTGACTTAACCCTTTAAGAGCCACAGGAAATTTTCAAAATTCTGCATTTTTTCGTGTTCCTTGGATCATAGCTTCAGTTCTACTCACTCAATCCTCACAATATAGGGCTTCCTGGAAAGGTCTCCGCGAGAGGAAGAGAATGAGGTCGATCATGATAGCCAGCACACCGTCTATCCAGCGCTAGATCGCAGCGACAGTACGAAAAATGCCCCAAATGCGTCCAATTGCGTCCCGCTCCAGATATTTCATTTTGCTCGATCGTGGAGTTCCAATTTTTTCGCTGTGTACTCTTGACAATATCAACAGTGAAACCCGTGCAAATTCGAGTAAACCAGCGTGACGAAAAGTCTCAAAATTCTCAATACTAAAGTGGCACTGCGCGCTTTTGAAATTGCCGCGATCGCGGCTCAACTTACGAGTGATTTATCTCAGGAACCGTTGCTCGCAGCGCTTCGCGGATTGTTTCTCCCGACAGGTGAGAGTTTTCTCTTCGCCCTGGATATTTCGATCACTGGATTTGAGCGAGATTTGACTGAGTTACGATCTTTTGAAGTTTTGCATTTGAATGCGTCGTTTACGACGCATTCAAGTATGGGGCGGCTCTTAAAGGGTTAAAAGTTGACGGACGTAAGAATTACGTGAAACTTAACCTCTCTAGCGTGAACTAATAGAGAGGTTCTGCAAAACGAAAATGCGTACAAACTTTCGCTCTACGTCATGAAGTGAGACACTTCGCACGAACTTTCGCAACTTTGGACGCGAATCTTGCAGGGAACGCGAAATGAACTTTCGTAGGAAGTGTCGTGAGATCGGGTTATGGCGTACGTGCAGTTGGCGCGTACAAACTGTGAAAATGTGCAGCACACAAAGTTCGTGCCAAATTTGTACACATTTTCGCAAGGTCTATCAAGAAACTTTGTTGTGCAGAACTTCTCTAACATTATACCTATTGTTCCCTGTAAAAAGGCGCTGACACCTGCTGGGAATTCCCTAGTAGAAGAAGAATAGTTTTAGAATTGCGATCAACAGAACGAGCTGAACCGACATTTCACAAAGGCTTTTATTGTATTCAAAAAACGAGTGGATACGAAGGCAGTGAAGAACATGGAAGAAAGAAAAAATGTGATATGGAAGCATCTTTGAGAAATACTCTCTCTCTATTGATGAGGAATGATAGTCCTTGGTCTTTGGAACGCGTTTCTGAACACCACAGGGACAGACACCAGTGTTCAGACACCGTGTCAGAAACGAAACGTTATACGCGACATTACGGCAGTAGAAACGTTTCCTCAGCACAGCATTCAGCAAATGTATCTGATTTTGTGTGTACCTCAATCTGAAATATGTAAATAGGCGTCGAGGCGACAATAGTTTTAGAATTGCGATCAACAGAACGAGCTGAACCGACATTTCACAAAGGCTTTTATTGTATTCAAAAAACGAATGGATACGAAGGCAGTGAAGAACATGGAAGAAAGAAAAAATGTGATATGGAAGCATCTTTGAGAAATACTCTCTCTATATCACATTTTTCTTTCTTCCATGTTCTTCACTGCCTTCGTATCCACTCGTTTTTTGAATACAATAAAAGCCTTTGTGAAATGTCGGTTCAGCTCGTTCTGTTGATCGCAATTCTAAAACTATTGTCGCCTCGACGCCTATTTACATATTTCAGAAGAAGAATAAATAATAATAGTAAATAATTATAATAACGACTGCTGTTATTATAATAACTGCTGCTGGGATGACGACTACACCATAGCTCAATGGTTAGAGCATCGCTCGTTAAAAGCGAGGGTCCCTGGTTCGAGTCCTGGTGGTGACAGTCGATTTTTTCTTTAGACTTTTCCCATTTGTCTCTTTCCCTCAAACCAGTTAATAATAACAACTGTGGTCAAATTTACACTGTTACACAGTCAATCAAACTCTCTTTCTTGTTCCCTTCTACAGCATTTACACCTTGTGCTGGTGTCCAATATGAATATCGTCTCTTGATTATGCCTGGTATTAATGCGTTTGATCATGCATGGCATCACTGTAAAACACATTTTCCAGGCTCATGGCTCGCAGCACCGCAAAATCAAGACGAAATGAACTGCTTGTACAAGATGGAACCCCAATATTTAACTACTGTCATGATTGGGATCAAGCGAGTCAATGGGATCTGGATAAACTACGAAACCAAGACAGAACAGACTTACTTTAACTGGCAACTCGTACCGCCCTGGAATAGGCAGCGTGTGTGTGCAATTTCTTCCATTGGTTCTCCCTTTCAAAGAGATTTTTCGAATTATTGGTTTACTACACCCTGCCACGGGCAAAGGGTAAAGGGTTTTTTCTGCCAAAGAAAAGGTGGGAATAGAAATAGGATGACTTGCACTACATGAAAGTTGTTCACCAAGAAAACCGGTCTATGCATGCACTGTAAAACATGTAATTTTCCGTGCAACTTAATTTCGGTGACTTCGGTAGAGAAGCCAGGCACCTAAATTTCGATTACACCTAAAAGGCACTAGAGTATGCACTGCATGTGAAGGGTAGGCTGGTCACCTAATTCTACATTACACCTGAAACCTGGCAGGTCTCTGGCACCGACATTTTAATGCACCTAAAATTGCATGTTTCACGGTATTCACACCAGTTGTAGTGCCTGCCTGTCCAGTACACCGGATTTTCCGGAGCATACACCGCACTTTAAGAGTCAATGTCTGTAACGACCAAAATTTAATATCACCAGACTTGCCCTAGCATCCAGCAGCCGAAGGTGGGGCCATGCATCATAATGGATATTTGATATGATGGTGGGTAAACAACAGAGAGAAACACACAACGCTATTTTTAATTAAATATCGATTATAGGAAACACGAGAGGGTTTGGAGGAAAATAGGACCGAAAGAACTCCACCGCCCACCCCAGAGCATAACAAATCAAGGACCTTATGCAGGATAGCTGCGGAGCCAAGGAGAGCATTCTTTTGCAATTCAGACACAGAGCAGTAGCTGGTGATACCGATGGTGTCAAGGTATCCTGGCAACTGTTTGGAAACAGTGCCCAAAGTCCCAACTACCACAGGAACAATCTGAGTCTCAACTTGCCAAAGCCGTCACGCAAAATTACGCATCTATGAGCGACATCCACAGAACCTGCTGGGAGAGTACGCGTGTACTCGAGTCTCATCCTGAGCACGTTTTTTCTTCTTTTTTCAGCTCCAGTATAGCTGTATTTTTCATTGCAAAGCCGTCCTCGATTGCTGTGTTCGTTGTTCAAACGAAGTGGGCACTCAATCAAGAAGGCAGAGGACATAGGAGCCTGATTGGAGTTTCTGGTGGCATAGGACGGCCACACGGAGGCACTTTGCAATTTTCTGAATATAAAACGTCAGGCGAAATAGAACGTCATAGTACATTTGAGACCAGCGGGAAGAAGATGACGACGTCCACTAATTTAGTATCTGTGCACACGAATCTGCTGTGTGTGTGACTCTGTGTGTCAGCTATGATAGCAACCCCTGTGGTTCCATGCCTAGCATGTAGGTCTGAACCATTCGGCAAAGTTCGAATGACGTAGGTTGAGCGATGGCTCCGCGAACCAGACTTTTTGAAATTCTCTTCATAGTATATCTTCCACCATTGAAATTTCGAATTTCTTGCTGAGAGGGGTGGCTTCCAACCTCGACATGGCTTGTTCCAGACATGCTGTGAAGCGAACCCCTGTTGAAGTAGTGGCGGGGATCTGCCCTGCAACTGCTACAACAAAAAATGATTCGATCTGAGAAAGGGTGAGACCGCGAATCTCGGTTGAACATTGAGTATTTCAAGCCTTTTCACGACGAAGATGGAGTTCTTTTTGGAGATGGACGTCGCGGAAAAGGACATGGTGTCCGACTTCTGGCGTCTGGTGAAGCCAGAGATCATTAATTTTGTCCAGTCAGGTCGACAGCCTAACTGTCGGTAAGCTTGTGTTTGGATCCCGTTCTGCTCGATGTGGTAGATCACAAATAATTTGATGTCGCACAAATTGATCTCAGCATCGTGCATAGGGTATTTTTATATTCAGAAAATCCCAAAGTATCTCTGTGTGGCCGTCCTATGCCACGAGAAACTCCAATCAGGCTCCTATGTCCTCTGCCTTCATGATTGAATGTCCACTTCGTTTGAACAACGAACACAACAATCGAGGACGGCTTTGCAATGAAAAATACAGCTATTGGAGCTGAAAAAAAAGAAGAAAAACGTGTTCAGGATGAGACTCGAGTACACGCGCACTCTCCCAGCAGGTTCGATAAACAAATAATATTATTAAAGGCACCCATTTTGATAGTCCAGAGGATGGCCCACGCCTGGTAAAAAGAATAAAGTTGTGGAAAAAACCACGGAGTAGTAAAATACCTACGTACTGGGGAAATAAAAATGGGGAAATATGCGGACATGAGGGTTGCGCGCAAAGAGTTACAAGTTATTAGAGATATATTATGTGAGCAGGAAAGAACTACTGTAAAGCGTGAAATTTTCGCGGCGTTTTTAGTTCGCGTTTTCGGAATCCGGACAGGTTTGCGAGGTTTTAATTTTGCGATTGCAGAATTTGCTGGCATTCATGCTACACCTTCCATGGATCTCCTTTTCGCGCTGTCTAAATTTCGCGATTTCCACGCGGTCGCGAATTTCGCAGAAATTAGACCTCAATAATTTCACTGTTTACAGTACACTCGTACAACGACGACCTCAGTATTAACGAGAGAGGCAGGGCAGTCCACCAGTGCACAGGACCTGCTGGAGAGCCGGGTCGGCCGGGTCACGCGCCCGGCTGGGGAACTGCACGACCTGGCTGAACAGATAACACCGGGTCCAGTCTGACCCGGCTGAAAAATGTCTCAAACTGACAATGGATTCCTAAAATACCGGTATTTTACGACTCGCGGACCCCATCTGTTGCAAATCTAGCGCAACCGTACACACTACAGTCTACAAGCGACAGAAACTCGGCTCGGGTCAACTGGGGTCAACTGGTTTGAGCGCGATCTGGCCAGCGGCGAGCAGGAAGTAAGGACATTCAAAGTCGATGGGGCAGGCAGTCAAAAGCGTAACTTTGGCTATAGACCTTATTCGATAAACGTCACAATCACGTGAACCGGGGTCCAGGGACCAGGGATTGGCGAGAGACCTGCACTCAGTGCACAGTGGACTCGGCGTGGGAACATAGGAGTAGGAAGAATACTGGTATTTTACTACTCCCTTGTACGAACTGGGCCTTTCTTGCCACTCGTTTCACGTACGCGTGCCCCAGCTTACGACAAATCACTGGAGGCGAGTCCAAAGATCACGTTATCGAATAAGGTCTATAGCTTTTGACACAGTTGCAAGTTTTCAGCCGACTGGTGATTTGGACGATGGAGCCCACAGCGAAGAGAAAAAGAACTCACGCTTTCCAAGACTCTTGGAAGAAAGGTCGACCCTGGCTGGACTACGACCATGCCAGTCTATCCATGTCATGCGCTTTGTGCAAGACGCATTTCTAAAGGAAGACGAGCAGCGGTGGATTACGTCGCGATGTTCTCTAAAATTTCCGATTTCCGGGTAATAAGTTCGCCTTTCTGTTTTCCTGCGTTTTGAGCAGGCTTTTTGGTTGTTTTCTGCCGGATGATCTGACCCGGCTTGACCCGGCTGGCTTGCATGCGCCAGGTACACTCTGACCGGGCTGTGTTGAATGTCTAGAGCAGGCCCTGGTGCACGCGAGGGGAAAGAGGGAGCGACTCCCACGGATGCACATGCCGCTAGCATGCACAAGGGCAAAGCTAAGGCGGCAGCGGATAAGGGCCATGGTTGTCGAGTAACTGTTATGGCTCACACGTCTTCTCCGCCAGCAGCGATGCAATGCGCTTGTAGAGAGACGAGGCGCTCTTGCTCATGCCACCTGTGGTGGAAAACACTGCAGGCATGAACGATGCGTGCTCCACCTCACGGAGTCGCTGTTCGTAGGACCGCTTCTTAGCCTTCTCGTGACGGACGTAGGTGGCCGGGAGGGAGGAGAACTGGTTTGAAGGCGCATAAGGGTTGAAGACCCTGACATCGATAAATGTGCGTTCAAACCGCCCTCCCCACACTCCATTGGCTGATACATCCAGACGAGCATTGTCGTCAGTGATAGCAGTGAGGAGGCGAAGTTGTTCCCCGGTGAGCGGCTGTAAGTGAGGCTCCACTGCGACATTCGTGGCGACACGCTTCAGCAGGCCAGCAATGACGTCTCGGATCTCATTGTGTCGGATGGAGGGGTAACCTCCTGTTGGGCACGACAGGGCATGTGCGATGAAGAAAGGACTGCCACAGCCACAGGTCGCCGGCATCCTGGGAAGTCTCCAGTTGTAGCGAAGGCTGAGGGCATCCCTGAACTCACCCTTGGAGAGGGCGAAACCGTATCGGCTCAGTGGTCGACACGTTAGCCAGCTTGAGGCGCCGCGCTCTGCGGCTAAGTCCATCACTCGCTGCTTGTCCGGCGTCAAAGATGCGCGCAGGCTAACGGAGAGGGTACGGGTAGCATCACGGGAGCGGGATTGTACCTCTCTTTTGGCAGCCCGCAGAGCAGGGATTGGGCGACGTGGCGGGACCAGTTGTACTGGTCGGACAGCTCGTAGGGCTAACCATATCGAGACCACCGTGGCGGCAGGGGAGAGACAACACACCGCAATCTTTCCTGTTGATTGTTTGCCCGGTGATAGCAGGGATGAGCGTCTCCGCAATGGCCTTCTCCAGCGGCCCCATGGCGGTGGCTGTGGTCGGCATAGTGCGACAGATGAAGGCCCACTTTCCCTTTAGCCCTTGGGTGAAAGCAGCGTACGCAGCGTGAGGCTGAGACATGGCAATGTCGGAGAGGCGGTTCACTGGCCCAGTCCAAAACTGCACCTTGTCACTTAGGAAGTGCTCTGCGAACTGAGGTGAGCCGATCGCAGCACCAAGATACCGGCATCCTTCTGTGTGGATTTCAACTCCTGTGCCGGCAAACAACTCTTCCGCCCGGTCCAGATAGGCTGGTTTGACCAGCAGAATAGACTTGGCTGGGTTCAGATTGTAGCCGTAGGAAGGACCTTTCTCGGTAAGGCCTCCCACCACCTTCGCAGCGGCATCAGCTTTCCACCGGCTCCTGCATCGTCGGCAAACCACTCCTGGATTGCACCCGGTGTAGAACAGACTTAAGCAGTGGTAGAACACCCAGGGCGTACATTGGCATTGCAATGGGGTCGCCCTGGGTGGTCCCTTCACTGGAGAGAATGGTTTCCCCACCGACGAAGAGATGTGCGGGCTGGCGGTATGTGTTGATGACAATGGGGGACATCGCTGGGCAGAGGTGCTGAATGTTA